AGCCAGATCTTCCTGTGACAACCTTTGTCAGCTACATGAACAGTCTTTCTCTGAAAAATATTTCTTTAATATTGTGAAAATAAATCCACCATCTCATAGCTCTATCACACCACCTCGCTCCAAATCGGTGAGCTGTATGTATTATGAGACTACCTTCATCATTTCCTTAGAGTATCTTTGACCTTTTTTATTATTTTAAATTAAAAACAAAATGGTAGGATACAGTTCTTTTAATGTTTTCTTTCGTGACAGCGATCCTCCACGTGGTGCTGATAACAACTTTAGAGCATCCTTGACTCAAAGCTAGTTAACATCATCCAAATTCTATTATCCAACGTATTCTACAGAATGTCGAAAGTTGCCTTGGCCTTCAAGATCACCAGATCTTTCTCCCATCCAGCATGTATAGGATATTATTGGGCCACCGCTCTAACCACAACCAGTACAGAGGGTGTTTCCTTTCAAATGAAACGATTTCAAACGTCCGTTAGAACTTTATTTTTCGAACGTGAATATTTTTCATGTGTTCTATGTGCTTCCCCTTCTTCTTGGCTATCTCCCTGCATCGGACTTTCCAAGCTGCGAACACTTCCTTGACTTTGGAGAGCGAAACATTCGACCACTCCTCTTGTGCGGCTTTCCAAAGTCCGGCCTCAGTTTTGGGACGTCGGTTTAAGAGCCGTTGTTTCAACATACCGAACCCGTAAAAATCCAGTGGGCTGGCGTCGGGAGACTTCACTGGAATGTCCGAGTTCCTGATAAAATTTAGGCCTAGGGTGTCCTTCATTTCTTGTAGGAACTGTTGGGTTTTGTTGGAGGTATGGGAAGAGGCTTTGTCGTGATGAAGGAACACTTTGTCCATTTCCCCTGGGTAAAGGTCCTTCAGTTGTTCGATGACAGGTTTCAGAACGCATTCTATATAGAATTCTGAGTTCATCTTCACCTTCGATGGAACCTTTATGAGCGGAAGGACTCCACGGCCAGTCATTACCCCGACAACCATGAAACCTTTAGGGAAAGTTTCGGAGCATTGGTGAACCTAATTATCCGGGACCTGATTGCCTCTTTTGATGTAACAGATCTTCCGGATTCCATTGCAATACGTCACATACATCCATGCTTCGTCCAATGTTGCAGTATATTCCGATCTGGAACCGGCCAGGTGTTCCTCGTAGAGCTTCCGGGCATTCGTTGCACGGTTTTTCATGTGGAAAGGGGTGAGCTTGTGAACCTTGCCTTTTCGTCGGGTATCCAGTTCCAAATCTTTGTGAATGATGTTATTTATCGTTTTTAGCGATGTTCCACACATTCTGGAAAGTTGGCGCTGAGATGGTGGATTTTCAGTAGTTGCTAGCCGCTTTACCTTGGAAACCGTGGCGGGGGTCCGCACCGGACGTGGTCGATCGACTTGAAATTTTTGCCCATTGGATTCAGCTTCCCTTTTCTTTCCGATGCCATTTACTACCCTACATATTGTAGCTTTGCCAACATCTAGTCCTTCTGCTTTTAGCTTTTTCACTATGACGCTATAACTGTTTCCTTCTTTGGAAAGCCGCACAAGAGGAGTGGTCGAATGTTTCGCTCTCCAAAGTCAAGGAAGTGTTCGCAGCTTGGAAAGTCCGATGCAGGGAGATAGCCAAGAAGAAGGGGAAGCACATAGAACACATGAAAAAAATTCACGTTCGAAAAATAAAGTTCTAACGGACGTTTGAAATCGTTTCATTTGAAAGGAAACACCCTCCGTATATGTACTGTTGTTAATTTGACTGATTAAGTACAACAGGCATGGAACTCTATCTCATAAAATGACACACCAAAACTTATAAAACACAATTCAATCATGTTTGTATGCCTTCGTTGCCTATTTATTCTACTGCAGTGACTATTACTGTACCACTTTTATTTTTTATTTATTTCCTCTCAAATTTACAGTGTACCATTCGAGCATAAAGCTCACGAGTCACTTTGTCGTGGATGTTAGGCATCAAGAATTTCTAAAAAATTGCCTTTAGAACTGACTGGAAGGTCACAGTTCAGGTAGAGTGAAGTCCAGGTCTTTTATGTCTTGGATTGACGTCTCCATCAAATTGGAACAATTCTTGTATAACTGGATTTTGGGAAGTAGAGAGTTTTAGATATAATTTCTGGGTCGAGGATATGTATATTTCTTCTATATTAGGCTGGTTTAGTCCTGCTTTAAAATTGCATTTGATAGATTAAATGGGGCATTTACAGTACTTCTTAAACAAATTCTCATGAATGCATCTATTCTTTTCCTATCAGTCAAAGTTATGTATTTAAACCATACAGGCAATGCGTATGTTATTATAGGGAGAATACAGCTTCTGTATAAAGTAAATTTTTGGTTAACAGATAAACCACTTTTTGAACTGAACATATTGGAAAATGAGGTTTTGGCTATTTTAGATTTTCTTATTATATCCTTCACGTGGCTGGTGAATTTCAGTTTAGAATCGAAAGTGACTCCCAAATATTTGACCTGCTGGGTCCAATTTATGGGAGATGAGTAAATTATAAGATTTGTCCTGGGTGTGAACTTGAAGCTATTTCGTGGAGGAAAGATAATTGCTTGAGATTTCTTTGGATTCAGATCGAGTTTCCATTTATCACACCAATGCAAATGATTTCAAGATAGTTTTGAAGGCGGGAAATTAAAATATCTGGGGAACGCGAGCTGGATAACAGGGCAGTATCATCAGCGAAAAGAGCTAGTCGGCATTGTGGGATATGTGGAATATCATTGATGTATAAATTGAAAAGTATAGGACTCAATATTGAGCCTTGAGGAATACCAGATTATATTTGCCGAGGACTTGATATATATAAAATGCACCTGTCCAAGATGAAACACAACAAGTTCAATGAGTCGGGCCAGCTGCTGGTGTTCTACCTCATCTCCCTGGTGTGGAGTGCGGACATCATCCGCCGCGAGGGCTACCTGCTCAACATCTCCCGCCTCTGGGAGCACTACCCCAACCATGAGATGACGTTCCTCTTCAAGTTCTACTTCATCATCCAGCTCTCCTACTGGCTCCACTGCTACCCGGAGCTGTACTTCCAGAAGGTGAAGAAGGAGGACATGAAGAACAAGATCATCTACGCCTCCCTCTACCTGATCTTCTTTGGTTCTGCCTACATCCTCAGCTACACCCACATTGCCATCTGCCTCTCCATGATATGTTCCAACTTTTACGGAGAACGTTCTATCCTGAAGATAATTATTCAGGAACCTGATGAATTTCTGAGGAAAATTAAAAGAAGTTAATTTAATGATGAGGCCTCTGTGCCAAACCATATCGAAAGCCTTTTTTAAGTCTAAAAGCACTACTCCAACAGCTTCGTAAAGGGATTTGCAAGTTTGTATGAAGTCAATAACAGTAATCAACTTTTTCTCATTTGATATGAATTTTCTCGCGTACACACACACTCTCTCTCTCTTTCTCGCGGTGCGAAGCTGCACAGGCGAACGCTCCTGCTCCAACGATAAGGGCTTGAAAAATTACAACCGCCTCTAGAGTGAATAAAAAACGTTTTATGGGGGATTCCCATGGATCATAAGAAGAGGAAGCTTTCGCCTTCTACTCAGCAGGCTCGTAGGCCGCAGCCCGGCCTTTCTCACCAAACCATCGCCATCCAGGACAGGGTAGCCATGTCATCTCAGCCAACAAAGAAGCATGCTGTGACACAGCTGGAAAAGAACTAACAGCAGCAGGCCCTGAGCAAGTCCAGATCGGCTTCACCCAACTTTGACCAGTGCTGCTTTGTGGAGTGGCACTCTGATCTATCTCCAGTGGACTATATCTCTGGAGGAAAAGCTTGGAAAGTCCTCTGTGTTCCAAATAATGAAGATGTCCGGCCAGGTATTGGTCGGGCTGGCCAGCGTCAATCTGGCTGAACGCCTGGTTGAGGAGGGCTTTACCATTGGGGGACCACCCTCCTGAAGACCTTTCCTTATAAGAAGCGGGCGGAGAAGATAACAATTGGGAATCTAAGTCGTCGCGGTACTGCGGCCCTACTGCAGGGTGGCTTCCCTGAACCATGAGGTCGTGACCAGCGGCGGATACACCTGGACTACCGCCAGCAGGGAAGCCTTTGTCCTTCTCCATGAAGGCCTAAAACTCCACCAGCTCCCTGCTAAGCTGGCGATTGTCCCCAAAGGAGAGTCGACCCCCGCATATATCACCTACGGCATTGAGTGCGGCAAATGCCACCGAAAGGGACACCAGCGAGCTTCCTGTCCCTTGAAAGCCCATGGAAGTCGTCCTGCCTATCTTCAGGACACACGGAGTGGACCGGTGTCTCCATCCTCCCAACCCACGGCCTCCACAAATTCCTCAGCGCTTACATCGGCTGCGAGGGGTTATGACACCATCCAGAAGACCCCCTTGGTACTTTCCAGCTCTGCCGTTGCGAACTGTTCCGTCCCTATCCAGCATATATTTGAAAGGTAACATCTCTAGAATTAGAATATGTAAGGACAGTTGCAGATTATTATGATTTATAATACAATATAAAGCGGCTGATGATTGTAAAACGAAAATTGCAATTATACCGCGAATGTTTCTTTTAAACAAAAATCGAAATCTATTTTAAAGAGAAATAACGATTATTTCTAACTTTAAGGATGAAGTATGATAGGATGAATTGTGAAAAGTAATGACAAACGGAAAAATAAAAGTGTCCAGGGGCGGGAATCGAACCCACAACCTTCTGCTTACCGGGCAGGTGCCATGTCCACTAGGCTACCCTGGACGTATTTTTCCGTTCGTAAATAATATTTAAAGTAACTTATAATACATTTAAAATACAATATAAAGCGGCTGATGATTGTAAAACGAAAATTGCAATTATACCGCGAATGTTTCTTTTAAACAAAAATCGAAATCTATTTTAAAGAGAAATAACGATTATTTCTAACTTTAAGGATGAAGTATGATAGGATGAATTGTGAAGAGTAATGACAAACGTAAAAATAAAAGTGTCCAGGGGCGGGAATCGAACCCACAACCTTCTGCTTACCGGGCAGGTGCCATGTCCACTAGGCTACCGCATTCGCGGTATAATTGCAATTTTCGTTTTACAATCATCAGCCGCTTTATATTGTATTTTAAATGTATTATAAGTTACTTTAAATATTATTTACGAACGGAAAAATACGTCCAGGGTAGCCTAGTGGACATGGCACCTGCCCGGTAAGCAGAAGGTTGTGGGTTCGATTCCCGCCCCTGGACACTTTTATTTTTCCGTTTGTCATTACTCTTCACAATTCATCCTATCATACTTCATCCTTAAAGTTAGAAATAATCGTTATTTCTCTTTAAAATAGATTTCGATTTTTGTTTAAAAGAAACATTCGCGGTATTATGATTTATATTAATATTAGTTTTTATTATTCTTTTTTTCAGAAAAACATCTACGAATGTTTGACTGGGGTCCGAAAACATTAGGTTACAGGCTGTTGGCCAGGCTTGGTCAATCACGGTCACTCTTCTCAAGCAATTTCAATCCCTATCCCTTTTTACCCTAAGAGTGTTAGACCTACAGAGGATGCACCACTATATATAAGAGTTAACACGCTGGGGCGGGTACCTCGGAGGTTGGGTGGAAAATCTGCCAACTATTTGAACTATATTTAAAACACCTAAATGGATTGAAAAATAAATAAATAAAATACCTAAATACTAATATATTGCATTTTTTGACATCACACATACTTTTTGCCTGTGATAATGTATTACTTCGGTGTTGCTATTCTATGGCTCTAATACTATTTATTAGTAATGTTCTTTCAGTATGAAGGAAATTGCACTCGGGGGAATTCCCAGGCGAAGCCGGGTCATTCGTCTAGTATGTATATAAACAATTCATCTTCTTATATACGTTTTGATTTTTTTTTTTTCTGGGGAAGGGCAGAAATGCTAGAAATATCGGCAAAATAATAAAAACCAAAATAGAAACTTTCCTCTTTATGATTTCGAGCTTTTTATAAATTTTATCCAAGCGATTATATAATCCAACACATAAAAATTTATCGTATATAGTCATCTGTTTTTCAAGCATTATAAATTTTATAAATTTGAAAATAAGTAAAATTTTCATTCTAACAAATAATCGCTTGCTATGTCTGCACATCAGGATTATTACTCTGGCCTATAAAAAAATCACCTATAAACAAACACTTTAGAAAATTTGCTTACTTAGTAATAACATTGAGGCATGTAAAGGATCAATTTTCGGAAACCCCCGTAACTAGAATATAAATGCATAAAAATACCCTTGTATATTCATGAAAGGATATTTAAATAGCCTCCTAGTGTAGTATTCATTAAAAATATATATTTTTTTATTTTTATTGTAAAGATTAACTTTAATCTGTAGAATGCCAAGGCAGAAAAAAGGGTTTCATACAAGCAAATTTCTGGTTTTACAAGAGGCAGAATCATAGGTCTCAGAAAAGGTAAAATTTCGACTAGTGAGATTGCAACGAAAGTAGGCTGCATTACTTTTGTAAGGATTTGGTCTCAGTGGTCAGAGGAAGAGAAAGGTTTAAGAAAACCTGGCTCAGGTCACGCACACACACCCTAAGGAATTACAGAGAGCGGATAGGAAGATTCGAAGGATGGTTGTAGCAGACAGGACAACAACTGTACCAATGATTCAAACAACTCTACATGTGCAGAATGAATATTGACTATCTCTGAACACCATTACTAACAGTCTTATCGATTCAGAACTCCGTAGACGCTGTCTTTATTAAGAATTCCACTCTCCGTCAGACCGAAGCGCCGGGCTCAGATGGTGTGAAGAGAGACCTGAAGTGAAGAGAGTGGTCTTTGGGCTCAAGAATGGCATTCTGATATTTTTTTCTGTGGAATTCAGATTCAATTTGGAGATTCGTGATGGCATGATGCATGTTAGATGTAGTTCTCAAGAAATATCTCATCAAGACTGTATTTTGGAAAGGTCCCTTTTGGAACCTCTGGTTTCATGGTGTGGGATGGCATCCGTTATGAAAGTAGGATCTTTTTATTCTTTATTCAAGGCACAATGACTGTTCAGCTATACATTGCAGATGTGTTTCAACCTATTGTCTTACCATCTATTGATAATACCCGACCACATACAGCCTCACGAGCCTTCCTTCAAAATGTTGAGATCCTTCCCTAGGCCGCATGTTCCATATATATTTCCCCAATTGAGCATGTTTGGGACATAATTGGAAAGCATTTTTGAAATTTCCACAGCTAAGTAATCTTGAACAATTTCGGCTCACAAAATTAGAAATAGCTTGGTCTCTAGCATCCTACAAAGAGTGATAAAAAACTGTATGACAGTATGCTTCTCCGTGTAGCTGCTTGTATATGTGCCAAAGTAAGACACATCAAAAATTGATTAAAGCTGTGTATCTTAAAATAATATACAGTTATCAGCGTCATAATCAATTCTTTCTTAATCAATTCTGTCACCGTTTGCTTTGTGAATGGAATAAATACCCAAATATAGCCATTTCTCATAACCATCGGTGGTTCAGTGGTAGAATGCTCGCCTGCCACGCGGGCGGCCCGGGTTCGATTCCCGGCCGATGCATTTTTTTATTTACAATTTTTAAAACTTATTTATATATTATACAAGAATGACATCCACGGCGCCAATTTATAATTGTAACGAAAAGTATTTGAATAAAAGCATTTAATCGGGTAAAACCCAGGCGTTGCCCGGGTCATTCGGCTAGTCTTAATATATTTACATCCTTTTTTTCTCAAATTTGGAATAAATTATTTTTCATATTACCATTATATAGAGAAGAGAGAGAACTCGCTCATTTTCAGAAAATTCACGTAAGTACTTTTAGGTGATACGAAAAAATATATTTTTTGTGGTCAATAAACTATATTATTTTTTAAATCTTGAGAATTAAAAAAAAATGATATAATGGCTTCATACGATAGTTTATCCGATGCTTTACGATGAAGAGCCATTGGGAATGGAAACAGGCCGATCCAAACTGAGTCACCAAATGGCTAAGGTTAACAGAAATGTGGTCTGTTAGCTCCGACAACAATTCAGTGGAGCCATCACCAGAAAACCAGAGAAGGAACGAAAAATATTCTCCATGACACAAAATGGTCGCTACCTGACTGACTGCTAAGGGTCATTGGGTATGAAAGATCGCATCTCTTCAGTGAGCTTTCATGTGTCTCTGGAGAAATAATATCAAGATAGATCGTTTATCAAAGACTTCCAGAATACAGGGTGGCCAGTAAATTCCGATACCATTTTTAAAAATGTTTAACTAATAAATTATTTATAATATTTTTCTATTTAACAGATAGGTGTTCACACACAGGTGTATGAAGCAATACAAGGCGCTTATATGATTCGTGTACTGCTTGAAACGCTCAGGTTAGGAAATATAGCGATAATTTTGTGATATATATTTTTTTCGGTTAAATCCAAAATACGCTTTATTATTGATTATAAATAGAGATTGATATATGTTTTGATATAGACCTTGTATGTCAATATACCTTAGAATTTCATATATACCATAATTATGAAGAGTGTAACAGCTGTGTTTAGCTACACTTCAACGTGCCAGCTTGGCGATTATGTAACCTCGAATAAAACAATAAAGTTATAGAGTTAGACAGAGACCCAGGCAAGGCCCAAGTAAGAATCGTAGAGAATGACAATAATAGATAATAAACAGCAAGGTTATTGTTGAATGACAACAATAGAGTATTAACAGCAGGGTTCCTATGTAATGAAAACAAAGAAATATTAACAGCAGGGTTTCTATGGAATGCCAACAATGGAGAAATAACGGCAGGGTTACTATGGAATAACAGCGATGTGCAATAAACAGCAGGATTGGTATGGAATGACATCATTGAGAATTAACAGCATGGTTGCGATAAATGAAAATACAAAATGAAATAACAGAAGAATGCAATGAAATGGCAAAAATGGGTAATAACCCAATGAAATGGAAACAATGGGTTGCTATGTTTTCTCAACAATTATATCTACAGCTCGGTGGCTATTGAAGGAACACAATGGGAAAAAGAGCAAGGTTGCTATTGATAACAACAATGGAAATCAAGAGCAGGGTTGATATGAAATAACAACAATGGAAAATCAACAGCAGCAGGCTATGGTAAGAGAACAATAGGGAAACACCAGGAGGGTTGCTCTAGAATTACAACAATGATGTTTCAATATCAGGATTACTCTGGCTGCTATGAAAAGACAACAATTTAGAATCAACAGCAAGTTTGCTTTAAAAAGAAGGGTTTGATATGAAATGGCAGCAATGGGAAATAAACAGCAAGGTTTCTATGGATTGACAACAATAGGAAATAAGTATCAAGTTTGCTATTGATTGAAAACAATGAAGAATAGACAGAAGGGGTCTAGGGAATGACAACAATGGTGAATAAAAAACGGGGTTCCTATAGAATAGAAACAATGAATAATTAACAGTAGGGTTGCTATGCAATGCCAACAATAGGTTAAATAACATCAAAGTTGCTATGGATTGACAACAATTTATAATTAACACAGGGTTATTATGGAATCGCAATAATGTGCTATAAACAGCAAGGTTTATATGGATTAACAAAGATTTAACAGTAGGGTTGTTAGGGAATGGCAATAATAGCGAATTAACAGCAGGAGGCTATGGTATGAGAACAATAGGGAAACACCAGGAGGGTTGCTCTAGAATTACAACAATGATGTTTTAATATCAGGATTACTCTGTCTGCTATGGAAAGACAACAATTTAGAATCAACAGCAAGTTTGCTTTAAAAAGAAGGGTTTGATATTGAATGCCAATATTGAGAATTAAAAGCAGTATTTCTATGGATTGATCAGTGTAGTAAATCAAGAATAGATTTTAATAGGAATGACAATAAAAGGGAATTAACAGCGGGGTTTCTATAGAATGGCAAAAATGGGTGATAAACAGCAGTGTTACTATGGAATGGAAACAATGGGGATTAAACAGCAGATTTATAATGAAATTTCAATGGAAAATTAACGACAGT